AGCTCCTGCCAGAACCCTCTGCCTTGGGAGGGGAGCGTGTGCTTTGTCCTGAAACCCTTCTTGTGTCCCAGGTGGGTTCATTGTGCTGGACGGAGAGACCTTTGAGCTGAAGGGGAACTGGGAGAACGAGTGTGAGGCCCCCCCAAGCGGGTACGACTTCTGGTACCAGCCGCGCTACAACGTCCTGGTCAGCTCTGCTGGGATGGCCCTCAAACGCGCGGGACGAGGATTTTGTCCCAGCGACCTGAAGAAAGGTGAGGGAAGAGGGATGTGGGAGCTGAGCTGGGACTCACCGGGGCGATGGGAGGGTGTGAGAGGTCCGTGGGTGTCGCGTTTGGGGAGGGATGAGTGTCCAAGGGCAGCCCCCTCTGCTCTTCTGACCGGCTTTTGGTTTCCTCAGGGGTCTACGGGCGCCGCCTGAACGTGTGGAACTTGTCCTGCCGCTCGCTCACGCAGTGCTTTGACCTGGGGGAGGACTCTCTGCCCCTGAGTGTGAAATTCCTGCACAACCCCGAGGCCGCCGAGGGCTACGTCAGCTGTGCCCTGAGCGGCGTCGTCTACCGCTTCTACAAGTGCGAGGCAAGTGCTGTGCCAGCAGCGGGGGAGCCGGCCCGGCCTGCGCCCGCAGGAACGCTCACGGCGCCGTGCCTGTGTTTCTTGTGCAGAGGGAGAACTGGGCAGTAGAAGAGGTGATTCGGATCCCGGCCAAGGACGTGTCGGGCTGGATTATGCCCAAGATGCCGGCCTTCACCGTGGACCTCATCATCTCCACGGATGACAAGTACCTGTATCTCAGCAACTGGCTGCACGGAGACATCCGCCAGTACGAGCTCTCCAAGAACTGCAAGCCCAGGCTGGTGGGACAGGTGAGGCAGGAGCAGAAGGGTTCCTTGGCAGGGTCTGGTGGGGGCTGGATGCCAAGGCCTCACCTCTGCCCCTGCCTCTCTCCCAGGTGTTTGTGGGAGGCAGCATCCTCAGGGGCGGCCCCGTGACGGTCTGCAGAGACGAAGAGCTGAAGTGCCAGCCCGAGCCCTTGGTGATCAAGGTGAGTTCTGTGGCCTCTTTGCCCCCCGGGCTCCTTTGGACCTCTTTGGGGG